CCTATTGGAGTCTGGTCCTCCTCCTCCCCCACATCTCCATCCCTTCTTTTTTTTGGCCAGCTTTTATTAAAGCACCTACTAGGTGTCAACCCCCCGCTGGAGGATGCGGAGATGGAATAAAACTTGAGAGAGAAGCCTTTGCCCATCCCCCTCTGTTGATCCTGCTCAGTTTCCCGGCTCGAGCCTCTAATGTGTGCATGTTGTCTCCCCCATTAGACTCCAAGCTCTTTGAGGGCAGGGAGGAGTTGGGCGTTTCTTTGTGTCTCCAGCTCTTAGCACAGTGCCCGGTACGTAGTTTTTTTTTTTTTTTAATAAATTTAAGCTTCTAAATTAAATTAAGCTTTTAAATTTAATTTAGTTTAAGCTTTCACCTTTCACTTTAGCTTTTACAATCAATTTAACCTAAGCTTTTACATTTAATTTAACTTAAGCTTTTAAATTTAATTTAAGCTTCTAAGTTTAACTTAAGCCTTAAAATATTTAAATTTTAATTGGAGGCAGCTCGGTGGTTCACTGGGCCTGGAGTCAGGAAGACCTGAGTTCAGTGGCAGCTTCGGATGCTAGCTGTGTGACCCTGGGCAAGTCACTTAACCTCTGTTTGCCTTAGTCTACTGGAGAAGGAAATGGCAAACCACCCCAGTATCCTTGCCAAGAAAATTCCATGGACAGGAGGGTCCACAGGGACTGAACAAGAAGCTTTTGGATTTGATTTAAGCTTAAAAATATTACTGACCTAAAACAGCCCTCGTCTTCAAGGTGCCTACCTCTCCCAGGTGGAGATTCAATAGGGATGATAATAGCACCTACTTTACTGGGTGTTGTGAGAAATCAAATGCTGGTTGTTCCAAAGGACTTAGTGCTGCTTTAAGCTTTAATTGTTTAAGGCCTAAATGGCTTAAAACTGTGTTAAGAATTTTAGAACACCTTGAGTGAAAAGCACTTTGCAAACGTTAAAGCCTCGATAATTGATAGCCTTTGCTGGTAGAGATTAGAAGGGACCTGTGATTTTATTGTGAGTGGGTCATTGGACTGCCTCCACCAAAGGCTCCTTAGCTTCAGCGTAAGAGGCATTAGACGGGTGCCTGAGGCTGTTTAGAGTTTAAATGACTCCTCCTGGGGCTGCCACCATTGCTGTCTTCAGATTGACCTTGAACCCAACTCTGACTGGAGGATAGAGCCTTATCTGCTTTACCACCTGCCTGTCCAAGTGTTAAATTGTGGTGGTCTATACCTGTAAGTAGATGAGCAGATACAGGAGAACCCTGGTCTTTGGGGTCACCTCCACCTCTTTGTGACCCCATTGGGGGTTTCTTGGCAAAGATACTGGAGTTGTTTGCCATTTCCTTCTCCAGCTCATTTCATAGATGAGGAAACTAAGGCAAACAGCATTAAGTGACTTGTCCAGGGTCACACAGCTAGTAAGTGAGTGAGACTGGATTTGAACCCCGGTCTTCTTGGCTCCAGGCCTGGCCCTCTATCCACTTCCCCACCTAGCTGCCCCAGCCCTGATCTAGGCGCATGCTGTCGTAGACAGCAGTGGGGCGGGAGGGTGAGGCACTAACTAACTCCCTATACTTCTCCTGTGTTCTTGGATCCACTTGACGGTGGTCTCTTTTCAGTTCCCTGGACTCCATGTCTTGGCTCCTGTCATTTTCCCTGGCCGTTCCTCCTGCATTAAATGCCCTTCTCCTTATCTCTGCCTCCTGGCTTCTCTGGCTCCCTAAAATCCCAGCCCAAAATCCTTACCTTCTATAGGAAGCTGTTCCCACCCCCTCTTAATTCTAGCGCCTTTCCTCTGTACGTTATTAACCGTTTATCCTGTATATATCCTGTTTGTACGTGTTTGTTTACATCTTGTCTCCCCCGTTAAATTGTGAGCTTCTTGAGGGCGGGACTAGCTTTTGCCTTTCTTTGTATCCCCTAGCACTTAATACAGTACCTGGGACATAATGGGCCCTTAATAAATGCTTATTGACTGATCAGGAAAGGACTAAACACTGGGTGTCCTTAAAGCTTTTAATAAAAAAAAAAAAAACAGCACTGAGACTTTGGGGACACTGTGTAGAGGAGGTGGCACCCAAGCTGAGCCTTGAAGGGAGTGAGGGCACTCCAGGTCTGAGGCACAGCCTCTGCAAAGGCCGGGTGAGGAGAGTTGGCAGTGTCGGATCCAGGCTTTATTGAAGAGTGGGGGAAAGGGAGTGGTGTTCAGCCCTCCATTGATTGGAGCCAGACTGGAAGAGGCTGAGGTGTCAGGCAAAGCAGTTTGAGCCGGCGAGGGATCTGGTCAGTCCTCCTTCTGCTTGAGGACTAGCCGAGGATCATTGCTTTATGAAACCTTGTTCCAGACAAGCGACATAAAGGAGACCAAAAGAGAAATCCAGCTCTTGAACCGCAGGGACCTCATCCAGTCCGTCCTCTAGTCCAACCCTCTCATTTTACACTTGGGGAAACTGAGTCTCAGATACTTTGACTGACTTGCTTTGGTTTACACAAGTGGTAAGTAGCAGAGACTTTATTTGAACCCAGATCCAGCACTGTTTCTGTTGACCCCGGCTGAAACAGCAAGATGGAGGATGAATGTGGAAGGAAGTAGTGAGGTTGGAAGCCCATTAAGAGTGAGACTGCCTGAGTTCAAATCGCGCCTCTAGTTTTTTAAGAGCGGTTTGCCCTGGACAAGGCACTTTTCCCCGACCCGTCAGTCATGCCTGGAAACTGGGGTTTACTGCACTTGTACTTCAGTGTTGTGAAGAGATGCTTGGTAAACCTTAAAGCCACAGAAGTTTGAGTTTCTGTAGTTGAGTGTCAGATGTTCTGGGTTGGTTGTATTGGGGGTCCTGTACCAGAACTGTTTGGCAGTAATGACATATTCGATCCTCGCTTGATGTGAGGGCTTTCTCTAACAGTGTTGATCAGAAACCATCTTCATCCTTGTTTTCTCCTGCAGTGTATCATTCTCATCCTGCATGACCTTCATCTGTCCTACCATAAATCTTTTTTCCAATAAGTTTTTACTATTATTATTACTAATTATTTTAATTTTCTGTTTCTTACATCACCATAGCTATCTCTTTTTTCTTATCAGTGGTTTTCTTAAGTTATAAGCCTACTTAGTGGAGTTCAAAAGGTATGGACATTTTAGTCACTTTATTTGCATATATTCCAATTTGCATAGTTCCAAATTGCTTTCTAAAATGGTTGTACCATTTCACAGCTCCACCAACAATGTATTAGTGTGCCTTTCTTCCCACAACCTGTCCAACATTTGACTCTTCCCATTTTTTGTCTTCTTTGCCAATTTTCAAAGCATGAGGTAAAACCTCAGGGTTGTTTTGGTTTGCATTTCTCTTATTATTAGCGATTTGGAGTATTCTTTCATGTGGTTGTGAATACTTTATAGTTCTCTTGAGAACTGTTGGGTCATTTCCTTTGCTCATTTATCTATTGGGGAATGGATATTAAACTTTTTATATTCATATGTGTTAATTATTTTTCTGTCCTAGATACCAAGCCCTTATTAGAGAAATTTGATAAAAGGAAATTTTTTCCCATTCGCCTACTTTCCTTCTTCTTCTACATGCGTTAATGTCTGTGCAGAAGCTTTTCAGTTTCAACTAATCAAAGTTAATCAAAGTTTTATCTGTTGTAATTGCTTCTTCCTCCTATTTGGTTAAGAATACATTTCTAGGTGGCGCAGTGGGTAGAGCACCGGCCCTGGAGTCAGGAGGTCCCGAGTTCAAATTTGGCTTCAGACACATAACACTCATTAGCTGTGTGACCCTGGGCAAGTAACTTAACACAATTGCCTCAAAAAAAAAAAAGTTTCTTACCCATACCTGTGAGAGATCCATAAATCTTTTTATAGGGTCTCCAACCAATATGCTGGGGTCTCTCTCCGGATCTCTTAGCATTGTGTGGCTATCAGTACTATTAGCAGTGCTTTCTGTTAATTATTGAAGTTCAGTTAACAGAAGGATCTGTTTATTTCCTTCAAATGAAAACTATACACAGTGCTTATATTGAACCATTTACAATGAGATATATGAAAAATAGAATTTATGATATTATAATTTTATTATAATGACAAATTGAACAACCAGTCCTAGTCCCGGAGAGAAGGTAATGGCTCATGTCAGAGAGATGGGAGGGGGATGTTGTATTCATTGTCAGATGGAGTCACTTTCAGATGTTTTTGCTTTCTTGTGTTTTCTTTGTTACAAGTTAGGGTTCAATCTGGAGGCGAGGATCAGATGACTGATATAAAGACAAAAAGGCCTGAATAAAATATATGTAAAATAAAATAGAAGAGAAATATGTGGAAAATTTAACAGTAGTGTTTAAAATTTTATCTTTAATTTTCTTGAACCCAGCCTTTTTGTTTAATGTCATGTAAATAGTTAAGTGAACTTTAGGAAGACCTCAGTTGAAAGAACCTCGAAGTGAATTCTTTTGTAAATTTAATGATAATTTAATTACACAAATAATTACTTCCTACTTAAATCATTCTTAAGTTTGAATTTTCATTTTCCAGGTTGTCCTAAATGGGGCACGTATGTGCTGGTAACCTCCAAGAGTAAATTGGGATGTTCTGTGGGAGAGTGGTCATTCCTTTCCTGTTACCACTCTCAGTGGTTATAAATGGATTTTAAACAGCTCTTGTTAATAAGCATCTGTTCACTGGCAGTCTCGTTTTTTTTTCAGATTCAACCTTCAGAGGTCTGTTAGCCGCTAGAAAGCTGGCTCTGAAGTTGAGGTGTATTATTATCACCACACAGCTGAACAGCTAAGCCTAGGAGAGCTAGCAGCAATTCTTTATAGTTCCTTTGTTTTGTTTTGTTTTGTTTTTTAACTTTTAATCCCTTTTACAGTGATTTTTACAGAACATACTGAAAAAAAAAGAAATTAAATGTTTGAACAGAGACTTAAAGTGATTAACCTATAACAGTGTTATATCACTTATCAGAACGTTTTTCTCTGCTAGTTTGATTAAATATCAAAACAGATTGAATGCTGAAGAGAGGTTATAGACATCTTTTTTTTTTTTTTTTTTTTTTTTTTTTTGGTAAAGGCAATTGGGGTTAAGTGAATTACCTAGAATCACACAGCTAGTGTCAAGTGTCTGAGGTCACATTTGAACTCAGGTTCTCCTGACTCCAGAGTGTGTGTTCTATCCATTGCGCCACCTAGCTGCTCCTATAGTCATCTTTAATACTATGGTAGTCAATCAGATCTGCCTTGAATTGTAAACACAGCTTTCTTTGAAGGCATGTGGCCGTTGTTAACTTTGGGGTCTTCCCAGCTATGAGATTCTGTTATATTTCTAGAAGATCGTCTCCATATCCCTTAAATATTCTGGTTACAAAATAGCATGCTATAGTCTTGTTATAACTTCTTATATATTAAAGTAGTTTGGAATATTATAGTGAAAATATATTCTCTTATTCACTTTTTCTTTTTTAAGATACTCTTTTGAGCAATTTCAAGCATTTTACCAGTTTCCATACTATCCAATGATGGCTGCAGCTCCCAGCATGGAATTTATGAATGAACAGCTAGCTCTGCCGGAAATTCCAGTCCCAGTCTTCGACCCGGAGCCTATTCAAGGTAGTTTTGAATGCTTGATAGACAAAGGCAGATTTTAATTAACCAGCCTGTTTTACCTCTAGAAAACATGTTGATTGATCTTTATAGGTGTCCTTTGTCCTGTTTGTCTTTTTATGGCACTTTTTCATGACTTGGTGATAGTTTTCCTTCAGGCTTCCTGCAAAATATTTAAGTGATGTATGCCTGGAAACTTGAATGAGATTTTAAATCACGATTGCGTAGTATTTTAAAAAAGCAACCAGATCTCATTTTATTTAATTGTTTATGACGTTCTGTGAAAGGATATTGGTGAGTTCTTTACTGTGTAAAGAAAGCGAAAGGTTGTTTTTACATTGTGACAAAATAGGCCTTTTTTAAAAAGTTCTTAGAGCTTAAGTTCAGCAAACTCATTTCTGCCTGATTCTTTATTATCCAGAATTCACTTTTTTCTTTTTTTAAACTCATCTTGAACTTAAATACAGAAAAACAAAAAAAGAACATTCCCATGTACATAGCACAGCAGAAGAAGATTCAGTGTAAAACCATGAATTTCCATTTCAGTTTACTTTTTTTGAAAAACTATTTAATAAATACTACACATAATTTTCAAAGCTGCCCTGCTTTTTCTGTGCTTCCTTCTAAGTTTTCTTTGTTCTCTACTGTGCACTTTTTTCTCCTCTCCTCCCCCGCCCCCTGCCTATCCTTAGACAGACAGACAGAAAATCATACTGTACATACTTCTGTTTAACATTTCTCTGGATGTGGATAGCATCTTGAGTATTTGTAATACGCAAAATAACTTAGTCGTTCAAAGTTGTTCTTAGAATAGTATTACTATTACTGTGTACAAGGTTCTCTTGGTTCTGCTCATTTCACTCTTCATTATTTCATGCAAGTCTTTCCATGTTTTTCTAAAATCAACCAGCTTATCATTTCTTATAGCACACTAGTATTCCATCACAATCATGTACCACAACTTATTCCGCCATTCCCCAGTTGATGGACATCTCCTCAGTTTCTAGTTCTTTGCCTCCACAAAGAGAACCGCTATAAATGTTTTAGAATATAAAAGTTTGTTTTTGTTTTTGTTTTTTTTTTTACTTTTCCCCTAATCTCCTTGAGAAACAGACCTAACAGTGGTATTGCTGGGTCAGAGGGTATACACAGTTTGATAACTCTTTGATCATAATTGCAGATTGCTCTCCAAAATAGTTGGATCAGTTCACAGTTCCACCAACAGTGAATTGGTGTTCCAGTTTTTCCACATTCCCTCCAACATTTGTCGCTTTCTCCTTCTATTATTTTAGCCAATCTTGTACGTGTAAGATAATGCCTGAAAGTTATTTTAATCTGCATTTCCCTAATCAATCGTGATTTAAAGCATTTGTTGATATGACTATATAAGTTTTGATTTCTTCATTGAAAAACAGCCTGTTCATATCCTTTGACCACTTGTTGGGGAATGATTCATATTATGAATTTGACAAAGTTTTTTTTATATTTGAGCTATGAGACCTTTATCTGAGAAACTATAAAAATTTTCTCCCAATTTTCTGTTTTTTTCTTCTAATCTTGGTTACATTGGTTTTATTGGGAGAAAAACTTTGTATTTTAATGTAATTAAAATTATCCATTTTATATCTTACAGTGCTCCAGAATTCACTTTTAAACTGAAAAACAGTTTAAATTTCATAAAAGAATCAGAGGAAGATCTGCAGTGAGCTGTATGGATCTTTTATAGTACATTTATGGAAAAACATAGATAAAAAGCATATGTGGTGAGGTGTGTGGGGTTTTGTAAGCAGCATCAATGAAAGTAGAGACCAGAACATCAAGATGTTCTGTATATATATTATATACAGTGGCAATATGATTTTTAAAGAAAGTGGTATGTGTGCCAGTCTGTCCTAATCCAACTTTGTGGGTAAATTTAAAAAAAAAAAACAAAACCAGAAAACTTTGTACCAGCACATAGAATTTTGCTGTTCAGACTAATTAGCTTGTTCACCACTAAGGAGAAAAAACATAGCCAGTTAGCTTTAGTAAGGAGGATGCAGTATTCAAATCTAATGGATTTCTATTCTAAACTTTTTTTTAAATTAAATTTTAGTACAGGAGTGAAGAACTTTTTTTTTTTTTTTTTTTTTTTTACAAAAGCCACTGGTCTTTAAGAGAAAAAAATTAGTCAGCAGCCTCATGGATTAAAAAAAAAAAAAAACTGGGCAGCTAGGTGGCACAGTGGATTGAGCACTGAAGTAAGGAGGACCTGAGTTCAAATCCAACCTCAGACCAAACGCTTGACACTTACTAACTGTGTGACCCTGGGCAAGTCACTTAACCCTAATTGCCTAAATAATAATAATAATATTAATAACAATTATCATAAAAACCAACAGCACACACCTGAAATTGATTTCTGTGTATATGTTATGTTTTTTCTTTTAATTGTTTTTTCTGTCTTTTGGTTTTTTTTTGTTTGTTTGTTTGTTTGTTATTTTTTTTAGGCAGTTGGGGTTAAGTGACTTGCCCAGGGTCACACAGCTAGTAAGTGTGTCAAGTGTTTGGTCTGAGGTCGGATTTGAACTCGGGTCCTCCTGACTTCAGGGCCGGTGCTCTATACGCTGCACCGCCTAGCTGCCCCTTTCTTTTAATTATTAGAGAAACATATTATTGCTCCTCCCTTCGCTTTTTACATTAAAAATGGAACCTAGAGCTTTGTTGAGTAACTACATCAGATAATACAGTCCTGCTTCTAAAAAGAAAAATATTTAAAATATTTTTAAAAAATTAAAATTTAAAGAAGATGCTGCAAAGCTGGAGAGCATCCACAGAATGGCATGCAGGGTGGTGAAGGGGCTTGCCCTTGCTCATGGAGCTGGCGGTGCTTGGTGTGGAGCAGAGCGCTCTCTGTCTCCCAGTGTTTGAGGAGCTTTCACATGGAAGAGGGATCCCAGGTGGCAGTAGAGGCAGATTTGGACTTGACATGAGGATAGACTTTCCAGCAGTGACAGTACTTCAGAAGTGGGGGGAGCAGCAGGGTCCTGCCTTCTTGAGGCCTCTAAGCAGAAGCAAAAGTAGGGGCCACCAGTGAGGCCTTTGGCGGAGAGGGTCTTTGTTCTGGAGTGAATTGGACTTGACATTCGTGGAGATTGCAGTCCTGGCTCTGACCCTCACTGTCTGTAACCCTGAGGAAGTCGCTTCGCCTCTCCCTATTTCTAGTTTCCTCATCTGTGAAAAGAGGGACTAGACTTGAGGACTGTTAATGTCTCTTCTGGTTCTGAATCTAGGGTTCTTTGATTCTTTCCAAACCTGACATCATGTGGTAGTAACAACATAATGTACAGTTTTATTTTATGTTGTACATAATTTACATATATACCAAGTATTTTAATGATTATTGAAAGTTTGTTCTGGAAATACTTTATTTTCCTCATTTCTTAGTGAGAAAAAACTTTTACTTTCTTCTCTGGAAAGTAAGAGATATCCTATTTCATTTTCTAGAGGGAAATAAGAAGTTCTCTCATGGAACACTATCTCCACCCTATGGCCTTTTAGAATATGGCTGCTTAAGGTGGTTGTATTTTTAAAATTATATTCTCAAATGCCATTACCTCTTGCTTGCTTTGCAGGTTGAATCAAATTAAGCTAAAGGAGGGAGCATTGCTGTCGACACTGTAATGGTTACTAGTGTAGTAATTAAGTATTCTTTAAAACACTCAAAAATTAAATTAAAGCGTGGTACAACAGCTGGAGAGCTGGCCTCAGTCAGAAAAACTTAGATTCGAGTTCTGCTTCTGACACACATTGAATGAGTGACTCTGGGCAAGTCTCCTGAACTTTCACTATAACAGGCAACTTTCTTGAGACTATGACATGGCAGAACGTTTGCTGAACTGTAATGGTAGAAGGAATTTCCATACCAAGAGTCCCTTATAGCTGTGAAATCATAGATTTAGAACAAAAGAAACGTATTAGGCACGTTATTTATACATTCCTGAACTGCGTACATTCTTACCTGGACTGAGCAAGAGAAACACTGGACTAGGATGCAGTTGTTTCAAGCAGAATAAGTCACAGGAAGCTGACACCGATTGGAAAAAAGTAATGTAATAGAATCTGGAGGTATCAGCTAAGAAAACAAACTGGTAGGCCTTTGCAGAGCTTGTGCTTTAGGCATTGGAGAACTTTGATAGAAATCGGGGTGCTGGATTTCCTAGGACAGTTCTAGTTTTAGGCAATATGAGATAGTAAAAAGAACATTGGACTTAGAGTTAAAGGACCTGAGTCCAGAACCCAGGTATGCAGTTTATTACTGGGGTAACCTTGGACAAGTCATTTAACCCCCGCTGGGCCTCAGTCTCCTCATGTATATAATGAGGGGGTTAGATTATATGACTGTTAGACACCTGAAGTGTCTTCTAACTATGAATAATTTTAACTTTTGAGTGTTAATGGGTTAAATTCACCCATAAAAAGGAAGCATGTCAAACTAGATTAGAAAACAGAACCCAAACCATTTGCTGCACATGAGAAATGCATGTGAGAAATAAAGACACGTGTACAGAGTTCAGAAACAGGAGCCTAAAATAAAATCGAGTGTGCTTTAGGTAAATGTAAAAAAGTGGCAAAAATTGCAGTCATAATTTAAGATAGAACAACAGTAAAAATAGATGTGATGGATGAATTTGGAAAAATCACAAAGGATAAGTTGGCATGCATAGTTTGCAGTTTGCATCATTGAGCTCACAAATCTGTTAAAGTACTACATTTTGAATATTGGCATGTGGAAAATCTTAGTTTCAAGTTTTTCATAGAGCCTACGGTGGTTTACTTTCCTTATAGACTATCAGTTTATTAGAGTTACACCACATTTTTCTGGCATTGTTGGGAAAGGAGATATTGTTCCCCAGAAGTAAATTAACCTACTAACTTAACGCATGGCAATTTTTATGAACTTTATGAAGGGAAATCTTTCTTAAAAGCGTTTCTTACTTTCCTATTAAGCATATAGATCAAATAAAACATTTTCTTGAAGATTCAGATTTATTACTGTGAACCAATCAAATGCCTGTTATTTGCCAGGTACTTTGCTGGGCTCTGGGGATAGAGGTACATAAGTGAGATAGTCCTTACCTCCAGGAATGGCCAGATACATCATGTCAACAGATAAGAAAATTCAGTGTATGTTCCAAATAAACATAGAGATTTGGAAGGAATGGGGCCCACTGACAACTGAGAGTTGCCTCCAGATTGGTGAATGAGTTCCCTGCCCAGACCACCATTTCATGAAGGCACTAGGCTGTTCTCGCTTTACTCCTACCTCACTCCTCACTCTCCAGACTTCTCCATCCTTGTATATAGTTGTGTAACGTGATGATGCTAAAACTCAGTGTGTTGGCTCTTCGGTGCTATTTATAGATTGCTGTTTATTAGACCTCTGGCCTGAGTTACTGACATTTTAAAACACGTAAAGACATAATGAAGATCCTGTGTATGGTGAGAACCGAATTCCATGCATCTGTGATAGAAATGTCAGATATCTACAACCTAAATAATTCCAATGTTTCAGAGGAAAAGGGGAGAAAAAGAAGAACCAGATCGTCTGAGCCAAAAAAGCCAGAGCCGAAGAAGCGAACTGGGTCCCCCAGAGCAGCCAAATCCAAGGGGAAGCAAGAAAAAATTACAGACACATTCAAAGTCAAAAGGAAAGTGGATCGTTTTAATGGGATGTCGGAAGCTGAACTTCTGACTAAGACCTTGCCTGACATTTTGACCTTCAACCTGGACATTGTCATTGTAAGTTGACATCTTTGTAAAACTCTTTATAGCAGGCTGAGTTTTTTCAGTGGGTTATCTCTAATTTACAGGCCTCTTTTGAGATGCCCCTGTACTTCGATGGAAGGATTCATTTCTGAGTGTTCAAGGATTATAAGTATCAACTTCTGAGCCACTGAAGGTTACGTTGCAAGAGGCCACTCAGCTCTTAATGTCCAGTTTTCCTTTTGAGAAAACGTTTCCCTACTAAAAGATAAAGAGCACAAAATGTAGCTATTCACAAGTTATCCAGACAGCTCCCTCTTGGCCTCATTCCCCTTCTGTTTTTGCTTTCTCTCCCTGCTCCACGTACCGCCTTTCGACCACATTTCCTAGCATATTTCTGACATCTCACTTTCTTCCCTTTTAAGTAAGTCGATCAGAGGGTAATGATAGCTCGAGTGGGACAGGCCCCGAGCCATGAAGTAGGGCTGCTCATTGAACCGGAAGCCAGTACTAAGTGTTCCGTGGCTCCATGTCTTCATTTTCTTCTTATAATTTGATTTTGGTCTTTGACGGGGTATTTGAGTTGGGGTTTTGTGAAAGTTTAGAAAATATGTTACGAAATGTGATACACTGGCGTGTAGTATATGGTCTAGAGACCATATTTCTATGGTACTTTATGGTGAACAAAACATTTTCCCCACAAGAAAACCCTGTGACATTTTGGCCGTTTTCCAGCCAAGAAAGCTGAGGCTCAGAGTGAGTGACATATCCAAGGTCCCACCGTTGATGTCAAAGACAGGACTTGAACTGGGGTCTTCTGATGCTACATCCAGTGCTCTTTCCCATCAAATGGTGCCACTTCTTACAAAAGGGGACCGAATTCTTTTCTGATCCCCATTCCTTTGAACTCCTCAGTACTGCATTGTACAGAAATTTGAGTTTTTCCAGCTTTTTAATTCAAATTTTGATTTAAATGCCTTGAATTTTTTTTTTAAAGAGCATTGAGATCTTGCATTTAGGGTTAATCTTTAAATTGGAGGTGTCAGACACTTTTCCTACAATACCCCAGTGTTCCCTAAACAGATTAAGATAGTAACTGGGAAGTATTTAGCCAAATAAATAAAAATACAATAGATGACATTCCCTTTTAAAACTAAGTCATTATGCAGCCCGTGGGTATTCCTTAGTATGGCTTCCATTTCTCTTTTTAGTTTGACCTCACCTTTAGCTGAAAGGTATGTGATGTAATTGATCCAAATTGAAAAAAATAATATAGGACAACAGATCCTTTTTTCTAAAATGAAATTATTTCCTCAAATTAAGACTAGTAAATTATTTAAAAGACTCTATTGTTAATCATATTTACTTAAATTCCTTTTTTAATAAATTAACTTTGGAAATGAAGGGTTGATCTGCTTCCCCCCCCCCCCCAACAGATCGTATCTTGATAACTCTAAAATTGTGAACTGTCTTGCTTTCTAGATTGGCATAAACCCAGGACTCATGGCAGCTTACAAAGGACATCATTACCCAGGACCTGGAAACCATTTTTGTAAGTTGTTCTCTCATTAAGATTTTATCATTGTTAAGTGTAATTCGCTTTTTAGCTAGATTATTTTTTTCTTGCCCTAGCCTGGGTTAGTCTTGTCACTGAGATTTATAAAATTGTATCAGCAGGCTGGTTCTACCAAGCTAGAAACGATTAGTGCACTGAGGGATTGTGTTTGTTGTCACAGACCAGCCTAATTAATGTGAAGGGACTCATCTCTGGCGGGAGGGTCACTGGGTGATGACTTTGGGGGGCTTTGATAAGCCATAAAATTGGTAAAAATACAAACCAGCCCCTAGTCCTGAGCATCCCTGCCCTCTGCTTTTAGAGCAAAAGTAGTCGAGTACCAGAAAGGTAGGGCAAAGGGCGCTAAAAGCCAGACAGTCCTTAGAATGTCTACCAAGAACTCTTTTCACTGGATACTTACTCTTAATGCATCATTCTCTCCAGGGACCAAAGAGTTAGAGTGCTAGAATAGCTAACCTGTGTCCATACTGACATTCTCACTGTGAGTAAAAAGCAAAGTAGTAGCACAGTTGTGGCTTCATGGAGAGGTGGCTGGAGTCAAGATGGCAGCTTACTAGGAAGAAGTACGGCCACGTTCTCTTATCAGAATTCCTCCATAAAGATCTTGGACTTGGGGCAGCTAGGTGGCGCATTGGATAGAGCACCGGGCCTGGATTCAGGAGGAGCTGAGTTCAAATCTGGACTCAGACACATAACAGTTACTAGCTGTGTGACCCTGGGCAAGTCACTTAACCCCATTACCTAGCCAAAAAAGATCTTGGACTTGTCATTTGGTAGGTTTAGGGAACTCCCCATGTGAAAACTCCCTCAGAGCCTTCAAGAGTTCTTGCAGTACAGAAGTGTTAAGTGACTTGCCTGTGTTCACACACTTCTTAGGTGTCAAAGGCAGGACTTAAACCCACGACCTGTGGCACGCCACCTCTAATGTCACAGAATTACAAGGTGGTCAGAGGCTCTTCCTTCTTACTTGAGGAGTACCCACGTGTCTTCTGTGATCTGATTTGCCTTTATCTCTGGGTATTTTGGGGGGAGGTGGTGGTATCTGTTAGCAGGAAGGGAACCTAATAATCAGATGGATGAGGCCACCACATTTCCAAACATACAATTCTTTAGTGCTGCAGTGGGTACCAGAGACCTGAGGGTGCTCCAGGCACAAGGGACACTTACCCAGTTCAGCTCAGCTGGTCCAGACCCGTGGGTCACCCTGTGGTCAGAGGGCATTAACTGCTAGCTCCATATCAGCTCCCAAGAAACAGGATGCCACAAAGGAGAAATGCACTGAGATCCGTATCATCACCCAGTGGGTGATCTATCAGGATCTATTTAAGGCACTGGATTCTAGGATGTCATTTTTTAAATCTCAAATGAGAAGAATTCTGGGAGAGGAAGAGGCAGCACCAGAACCCCTTGGCCCGTCTTCTCCCCTCAGATCTTGGTGGTGACAACCCAGGACCTGACCCCAAGTGCCATGGGAGTGGTAGTACCCCACAGCCCACCAGAGCTGCTTCCAGTACAGCCTCTGCCACCATCATCGAAGGGAGAAGGGGCCACTATCCTCATGGCCAAAAGTGAAAAATTACCTGAGAGGTGCTAGGGCCCTAGAAGTGGCAGCAGCCCCTGACCAGGTCCTGCTCTGAGCCCTGCCTTCCCAGCCATCCCCATCAAGTGCCAACCCACTGCCTCCCAGAGGGTGGGCAAGCTGGCCCAGCAAGGGCACAAAGGACTGCAGGAAAGACAGGAGGCTGCATGTGCCAGCAGTCAAACCATCAATAAAGCCTTGATTATCATCTCCCTTCCAACCCCAGTGGAGAAAGCCCAGGACCCTGAACCCTAGAGCCTTGGGAGTATCGATGCTTCAAGCCTAGTGCCCTCAGCCATGAAACATCCCGTGGAGATGCAGTCTGGGGACTATTGCTCCTGGGACTACAGACCTAGAAAAGAAAGCTTTCACCACCAAAGTCCTGGGTTCTACATCAGAAATGGAAATAATTTTATCTTCATTAGAGAAGAGGTCTGACCATCTACTTTCCTTTTTTCACCATTTAGTAGTGTTTTATTTTTTTCCCAATTACATGGAAAGATAATTTTCAACACTCATTTTTGTAAGATTTTGAGTTCCAGCTTTTTGTCCCTCCCTCCCCTCCCCCCTCCCCAAGACAGCAAGCAATCTGATATAGGCTGTACATGTATAATCATATAATCATATTTCCACATTAGTCATGTTATGAAAGAAGAATCAGAACAAAAGGGAAAAACCATGAGAAAACAAAAACAAAAAAGTGAAAGGGTATGCTTCGATCTGCATTCAGACTCCACAGTTCTTTCTCTGGATGTGGATGGCATTTTCCATCATGAGTCTTTTGGAATTCTGACCACCTACTCTCCCACTGTACCCTAAGGAGCATGGGCCTTCCATCTGACTTGTAGCTGAAGCCTTCCGTATAAATTGTCTCCCCATTTATAAAGTGAGCTCCTGGAAAGCAGGGACTGTGTGACTTTTCTGTTTATATCCCCAGCACTTAGGGGAGTGCAGATACTTAATAAATTCTGTTACTCATTCAATCTACTCATAACTCTGAAGCTCCAATAAAAAGAAGTCTTTTACAAGGAGAACTTTTATGTTATAATCGAAAACTAAACTAGATGGCCTCAAAACTTCCATTCTATTCTATTCTATTCTGTTTCTACGAATCTAAGATGATGAGAATTCTCCATGTTTGAGATTTAAAAAATGACATCCTAGAATCCAGTGCCTTAAATAGATCCTGATAGATCACCCACTGGGTGATGATACGGATCTCAGTGCATTTCTCCTTTGTGGCATCCTGTTTCTTGGGAGCTGATATGGAGCTAGCAGTTAATGCCCTCTGACCACAGGGTGACCCACGGGTCTGGACCAGCTGAGCTGAACTGGGTAAGTGTCCCTTGTGCCTGGAGCACCCTCAGGTCTCTGGTACCCACTGCAGCACTAAAGAATTGTATGTTTGGAAATGTGGTGGCCTCATCCATCTGATTATTAGGTTCCCTTCCTGCTAACAGATACCACCACCTCCCCCCAAAATACCCAGAGATAAAGGCAAATCAGATCACAGAAGACACGTGGGTACTCCTCAAGTAAGAAGGAAGAGCCTCTGACCACCTTGTAATTCTGTGACATTAGAGGTGGCGTGCCACAGGTCGTGGGTTTAAGTCCTGCCTTTGACACCTAAGAAGTGTGTGAACACAGGCAAGTCACTTAACCCTTCTGTACTGTGGAACAGAGAATATAAATTCTCCTTATCCCAGTATACCTTTCACCTTGAAGTTAAAATCACATCTTATTTTTTTTTTCCTATTCTTTTGCTATAGGGAAGTGTCTCTTTATGTCTGGGCTGAGTGAAGTCCAGTTAAATCATACGGATGACCATACTTTACCAGGAAAGTATGGTATCGGCTTTACAAATATGGTTGAAAGGACCACCCCCGGCAGCAAGGATCTTTCAAGGTAGGGCAGTGAACAGTGATTTTAATGCTGTAAAATACAAACCTTGTGGGCTGGAGTTACCTTCTCGTCTTTCACTTTCCGTCTTGTTTCTATGTTATTGTCTCTGCTGCTACAAAATCATGATGCTGTTACTGTTTTTGTTTTAATTCTAAATTAATTTAATTCTAAAATTTGTTTAATTCTAATTTAATTTGTTTTAATTCTAATTCTAAGGTGTCCTATCACTATTATATGGCCATCTCTTGACTGCTTTGTTATTCCTTTTTTAGTAAAGAGTTTCGAGAAGGAGGACGTATTTTGGTGCAGAAATTACAGAAATACCAACCTCGAATAGCGGTTTTCAATGGAAAATGTAAGACTTTTCTGTGTACCAAGCTGACCTTTTGTCATTGTTGATGTTGTTTTCCACAGTTCTACATGTCAGTATGGCTTTGTTTCATTTTAGGTATTTATGAAATTTTTAGTAAAGAAGTTTTTGGAGTAAAAGTTAAGAAGTTGGAATTTGGACTTCAGCCCCATAAGGTCCCAGACACAGAAACTGTAAGTTCCCCAAACTGCATTTGTTTGCAAACTAATAATGGATGGAAGTGAAAGATTTTTAGTCATGTTAGCCTTTCTCTTTCCTCTAGTTCATGGTAATTGATGATAAGAAAAATAGCATATTGGTCTAACTAAGCTCTTTGAAAGGAAAAATAGCCAGATGTACTGTAGTAACACCAAACATAAATAAATCACATTCATATTTTATAGAAACCATTTTTAGGGAAAGAAAAAAAAACCAGGGTGGCCCATAGTTGGGCCAGTATGATACGTGCATTTGTTTATTTTGCTGAACAGTATCTATTTGATTTAAGACTTTTGTACTGTGTCTGCGAATATAAACATTTGCTTAACAGTGTTAGGCAAATGAATTAGGTCCTGTAAGTGCAATCAGAAGATTGAAATCTACTTGTAAAATTCAAGCATATCATCTCTTACTGACAAGGTAGTTAAAAAAAAAAAAGGCAAAACTATTTTGATACTAAAAATTTCTTTTTTTAAATGAAGGGGGAATTATGATGTTGGTTCCTAATAGTCTGATTTTGTAAATTCATTTATCCTGCACATTTTTATCAGACTTATACTCTGCAATGCAGTATTCAAGGAAATATTTGCTGTTCAGTCGTTTTCAGTCATGTCTGACTCTTTGTGACCCCATTTGGGGTTTTCTTGGCAAAGATACCAGACTCGTTTGCCACTTCCTTCTCTCGCTCATTTTACAGATGAGGAAACTGAGGCAAACGGGGTTAAATGAGTTGCCCAGGGGCACAAGGCTAGTGAGTGTGTGAGGCTGGATTTGTGCTCAGAAGATGAGTGTCGTGGCCCCTTCGGGCCCTGGGCTCTGGGCACTGTGGCGCCCCCTAGCTTCCTCAAGGGAAGGTAGAAATACAAATGAAACCTGGTCACTGTTTTCAGTGTAGAAATTAAGGACCCCTCGGATCAAACAAGTACATAATCATATGCCTGCCCTTAAATCAATGGCGTTCATTAATAATGGATTCCTTGTTGTAGGCATTAGGTTAATTTTGTGATCCCTTTGCAGAGAAGTGCCTCGTTTACTTTATTTCTTTTAACAAGTAGTGTTCTTCACTCTCAGCTCCCACACACACGCACACATATATGCACATATACACACACGCACATATGCACATACCCATGTGTGCGCATGCAGGTGTACATGCACACGTATGCACATACCTCCTCCTTGAGAGTAGAGGCCGTTTGCCTTTTGTATCTCTACCCCTTTCACCTAGCATGTCTGGCACATAGAGCATGTTAAATGCCTGATTGGTTGATCCGGGCCTTGCTTTACGGCTGGCACACCTGCCTGGGAGCCGGGAGCCCAGCTTCTGGCACCTTCTCCCCACCACCCCGCCACTCAGGGCCTCACGGATCAGAGTTGGGGGCGGCTGGGGCTGGCAGCTGCCCTGTTCCAGGTCCTTCTCGCTCTAACTGTCTCCACGTCTCCTCTTGTAGCTCTGCTATGTCATGCCGTCGTCCAGCGCGAGGTGTGCTCAGTTCCCGCGGGCGCAAGATAAAGTTCATTATTACATCAAACTGAGGGATTTGAGAGACCAGTTGAAAGGCATTTTACCTGCCACAGACGTGCAGGAGGTGCAGTACACATTCAATTTGCAGCTTGCCCAAGGTATGTTAATGCTGTGCGGCCTTGGCCTCGAAGGCAGAGACAGTGTAGCCTCCCTTACGCCAACACACTCCCATGAGGGGCATTTGACCCGAGCCATTTCTGTTAGAGACGAAGGTTTTATCTCTTACTCGTCCCATCCCCTCCCTCCCTCCCTCCAGGCCTTCAGATCTTTCAGGTGCCCCTGAAGCAGGGGGTCATCTCCTCCTCACCTTTTGGGGTCACTGCTATATCATGAAGCCTAAGGACTCCTCAGAATACTGGTTTGAGATCTTCTTTAATGCATAAAATGGAATATATAGGGTTACAAAATAAACCAATTCTAGTAAAATACTACTCTTAAAATATATTTTTAAAAACCATTCATGAATTCCAGGTTAAGAAGCTCTGTCTTAGAGAGGTGGTTGTTGGTTTGTATTTTTTCATGTGGCGGGTAGGAGTGGGGTTTGGGGCTAAGAAGCATTCTGACTTGTTTTTAAAATTACATACAAAGTAGCCAGACATCTTTGAAGTTATTTCTTCTCTGTGATTATAAAGTACTGCATCTGGAATCTGCCCCCAAATTACCATCATGGGAAAAGATGTTTGAGGTTATCACAAATGCTCTGTGGTTATCTGCAGAGGTGAATTACTGAGTAACCTTTTAACGTCCGACTTCTATGAGTAACCATTTTCCAGCCAGTGTTCAGAAGGAGTTTTAATTTGTTTTTCTTCTTGCAGAGGATGCAAAGAAGATGGCTGTTAAGGAAGAGAAGTATGATCCAGGTTACGAGGCAGCCTATGGAGGCGCTTACTGCGAAAGGGCATGTGATGTTGAGACTCCGTGTCCCTTTGCTTTGGACGGGACAGGTAGAGTGAGGCTGCCCTTCCTGTGTCATGGAATGACTCTTCTGTTTTTCCAGTTTGGGATAACATTGTGCTTTTTACCATGTTGGGGAAACAGCAGGGCAGAGTGCAGAAAATGTAGACCTTGGGATCAGGAAGGCTGAGCTACACACACACACACACACACGCACACACACGCACACAGTCTCACACACACACACATGCACACATATGCACATATACACACACACTCACCTACACGCGTGCATTTACTAGCTCTGTGACCCTGGGGGCGTCACCTGCCTCTGAGTCTCAGGCAGACTCCTTAGGACTCATTTAGTGAATCTTTGATGGGCTGCACTTTGTGGTGATGTAGAGACTTTGTCCTCTAGGAATCCTCTCGCTCCTGTGTTACTGTCAGCGATTGGGTTAGTGACGGCAGAGGCAGACTTATTCATTTAATGTGTAATTAAGGGGAAAAAAGGATTTCTTCTCAGTTATTGTAATTCAAAATAATCCCTGTGACATTTTGATGATTTCCTACCCTGCACAGTTTTTAAAATGGTTTTATTTTCAAAAAGTTAAAACTGAACTTTCAGCTGATGACGGCAGCTCTGGTAAATCCTGTTTCCAGAAACCTCTCGGCATCATTATCCATCCTCCTTTAAAGGCCTTCAGCTGTATCATCTCAGTCTTTTAGACAGAATAAACTGACACTGATTTTTTTTTTTCCCTACCTAGGAACAAATAATGCAGCCTTAGTTGGAGAAGTAGCCTTAAGCGGAGAAGCAGCCTTAAGTGGAGAAACAACCTTCGGGGACATTTTGAGTGAGCAGTGGCTGACACAGTCATTCACAGACCAGTTTCTGCCCGCCTTCAGCCCCTTTGGGAGCCTCGAGCAGGAGGGTGGCTGTGTGTGAGGATGACCTTTCAAAGGTCTTCTCACATACTGCAGTTCTAATGCAGCTGTCTAGAAAGGTGCCTCAGTTCACCAACTGAAGCATTTTAATAGAACTTTGCTCCTCTCATTATTTTCTGGTAGCCCATTTGTGTGGTAGAATTAACTTTATGAGCTTGATAGTTGGAAACAAATGTAGATCCTTTTGTATGTGAGTTTTTATATTTAATGTATGCCATTGTTTACAGTTTTTGACAAACTGTAGTCTCATTTTTGAAGAAATTATTTCTTTTGGGAGTTGCTTGTAGTCTGTATTTTTTTTTTTTTTGAACAGCCTGTATATTTATACTCCTTTCTTAAATCTGCTTATGGCAAGAAATTCCAGAGTCCTTCTTATGCCTGAAAAGCACATTCTGTGCATGATTGTCACGGGTACAGACACACAAATGTGTCGAAGTTCACATGAGACTCCTCGCCTGATGTCCGTGGAGCGTGTGCTTTGGGACTTGGGGATTTTCCAGTTGTGCCGATGAGGGAGTCCTGAATCTTTTCTTTCCCCAGGGAGGCCCCTTCTCCATATGGCCAGCAGTTGGCATTTCTTGGTGAGGCAGCCGCCTTCCCTCCACAGCAGGCCAGCAGCTGGCCGCTTCCCAGGAGCCGGCATGCACACAAGTCAGCTCTGGGGAATGCGGGCAGGCCGTGGAAAATTGTGTTTTCAGTAATTCATTTGTCACTTGGCAGATTTTGACTGTAGGAAGAGCAAAGGTGTGTAGTTGGGAGGCGATGACCTTTCTGTCTGGGTGCCTGCCTCTGCTCTCTGTGTGGTGAGTGATGGAGCAAGGTGTTGCTCAGAGTGTTGTTTGGAAGAGGTTCATATAGGTGCTTTTCATACTTGAAACATGCGTCAAATGTGGTGTCCAATAGAATATGATTTCCCTGCTGGTCCTATCTAATAAGCCAGTTGTTTTCATTCCCTTTCTCCACCATAACTCATCTCTTTGGCAAGAATGTCCATTGGTTAGGGTCCATGAAAAGGTATTTTGATTCTGTATCTTGTGATTTTCTAGCATGTACAGTCTCCACGGTGCTACCGATGACCCATAATCACTTCATCTTGTGGGTGTTACACCCATTCATCAATGCTACTTTTATTCAGTTCTGACCCAGTCAGAATGCCAAAATCATGGAAAGTCAGAGCTGGAAGGGGCCTCGAGAGGTCTGCTAGTTCAGCTTCCTAATTGTGAGTGGGGAAACCGAGACCCAGCGAGGGTTGAGTGTTAGTGGCAAAAGTAGGACAAGAACCCAGATGTCCTGACCCCCCAGTCCAGTGCTCTTACACGCCGTGCTTTTATAGTCAGCTAGTATGTGGCTTTTTAAA